ATATATATATATTTTTTCCCCCTAAGGACTGAGGCTGTAGCTCAATGTCAAAGCACCCCAGGTTCAATCCCGAGTACCAAAAAGAAAAAGAAAAGAAAGAAAAAAGGTGCAGGGGATGGAAAAATGGATAGTGGCTGTGAGGATAAGGTAAGGGGACGCTGTTCCTGGTGAAAAAAGTGTTGTGACATTAGCAGGGATGGGCGCAGAACTTTGTGAAGGAAACTGCTGGATCCTACACATTAAGCAAGTGAATTTGGGGGAATGTGAGTCATAACTCAGTTTAGGAAGTAACATGCCAAGACAAAACAAAGAAGCACGACAAAACCAAAAAATAAGAGAGAGAGAGAGAGAGAGAGAGAGAGGGAGGAAAGTAAATAAATAAAAGAAGTAGCACACAACTCAGATGCTGTGGTTCATGCCTGAAATCCCTGCAGCTTGGGATACTGAGCCAGGAGGACCGCAAATTCTAGACTGGCCTCACCAACTTTGCAAAACCCCAAATAAAATAAAAAGGACTGGGGAGGTAACTCAGTGGTACAGGTCCCCTGGGTTAAATGAGCGCATCCATAAGAACTATCCTGTGGAAGTAAGATTCCAACCACAAATGTGAGACATCTTTGTAATTTCAAGTGCCCCAAGAAGCACACACAGAAACACAGATGACATCATTTCACCATATTAAGTGTATCCAAAATATCATTTATCCGAAATAATGCAGATCCAAAATATTTCAACATGTAATAGGTATTTTTAAAATAATGACATTTTACATTCTTTTCTCTTAACCAAGTTTTAGAAATCAAGCTTTTTAATTTTTTAAAAAATTTTATTTATTTATTTTTCAAATCAGGCGTTTTAAAGCCTGTCTCTGGGCCAGCCACATTTTAAATGCTCGGTGGTCCCTTGGGGTGGATGGCTTCTGCATTAGAGAGTCTACATCATTATTTGACTTAGCATCCCACCATGAAATAAGCATTGTTTCTGTGAGTACCTACTACGCGCCAGCAGTGTGCTGCTCAGCTTGTAGGTTGTGCCCTTGCACAGGGACTGACCTAGTGGCCGTGAAGTTCTCATGCAGATTTCATAGCTCAGGAACGGAGGCTTTCGGTGAGTGCGTGTCGGCGTGTGGATCCAGGATTTACGAACATCTGTAAGTGGCTCAAAGCTGGACCCTGGAGGAGGCCCAGTCCCCTATCACATCTTGGTCTGGCGGCATGGGGACAGGTGTCCGCAGTTTCCCCTGGCTCCAGGGTTCTTATTTCTTTTCTTTTTAAAAGATTTTTGTTGTTGCTGTAGATGGACACAAGACCTTTGTTTTATTTATTTACTTTTATGTGGAGCTGGGGATCACCCAGTGCCTCACTCTGCCCTGAGCCACGTGCCCAGGCCCTGAGTGTGAGCAGCGCCAGTCCCTGTGCCCAGCGGCTAAACCCCAGCCTCCCTCGGGCCCGCTGTGGGCCGTCTTCTGCAGACTGTGTGTTGGCTGTCCCTCCTCTGGGCACCTTCACTCAGAGCAGCTTTGCTCGGCTCGTTTATCAGGGGCGTAATGGAGAACCCCAGCTCCCTGTAGCTCTATGCGGCTGTAAACCCACTTACCGCGCCTGCTGAAGCTTATTTACCAAAAGAAGCTGCGCCAGGCTCTCCTTAGCGGTGATTCACTACAGGCCCCTGAGCTGCAGCTGGCAGATGAGCCCGGAAAGGGACGTGTGCATTGGGAAGGGCCTGAGCAGCGGTGGCCCTCCCGCAGCCCTTTCCCCACGTCCTGTTGGCTCTTACAGGAAGTGGCGCCTGAATCCAGCCGGTGCCAGCCCCACGGATGTTCAGCTTCCTTGGTGAATTGGGGCTTGCCCTGCTCTGTGCAGGTCGGCCTGGGCTGGAGAGGACAGAGCAGCCAGACCTGGGCCTGCGCCTGGCCGTCAGACAGCAGGCCAGGGACAGATAACACCCATTAGTTGTGATGAGTGCCCTGGACACGCCCCAGGCTGGAGGGCGGCTCTGGGTGTCTGGAGTGGAGGCTGGGCAAGGCCTCTCTGAGAAGCTGTGTCTGGGCAGTAGCCCCCGGGATGTGCAGGGACCAGGGAGCCTGAGGTCCGGGAGGGGAGGAGGAGGGTAGCACCTACCTGCAGTCCTGGAGGGCTTCCCTGAGGCAGTGACATGTTAGGGTGAGCCCTGAAGCCTGAACCGGAGTTGGCCGGCTCCAGGAGAAAACTATCCCAGGCAGCGGAACCACGTTGGAAGAACCCGGCAGCCTGCTGGGGGGTGGGCAGGGTGTCGTGGGTGGAGAGAAGCCCCAGGCCCCGGGAGAAGGGGGCAGAGGGCCTGGTGGATAGGCAGCAGGCAGAGGGCGTGCCTGCCCTTGTGTCTTAGCTTGTTCATCGCTGTGACCAAAGGACCTGGCGAGAACAGTTAGAGGAGGAGAAGTTACTTGGCACTCACCATCTCGAGGTTCAGCCACGGCCGACGACTCCATGACTCTGGGCCGGAAGGGAGGCCAACCATCACGGTGGAAGGGCGTGGGGGGCAGGCAGCTCAGGACAGGGCCATCAGGAAGCAGAGAGCTCTGCCCACTAGGGACAAGACATAAACCCAAAGGCCCAACCCCAGGGACCTGTCTCCACCTGCAGAGTCACCACCCATCAGCCACGTCAGGGGACCCACGCACCGATTAGGACAAGGCTCTCCTAACCCTAAACTTCACCTCTAAACGCCCTTCACGGTCTCACACAGGAGCTTCTGGGCGGCGCCGCAGGCCACAGCAGCTTGGCACTGCCTTTCAGGACGCAGGAGTGGACAGAGGAGTGCTGCAGGGTGTCTTACGAGCTGCTCAGCACCTGGCTTTTGCTCAGGCTGGCCTTGAACTCGCGATCCTCCTGCTCCGCCTCCTGAGGATGACAGGTGTGAGCCTCAACACCCAGCTACCTAGGTTTCTTAAGTGGACGTTTTTCTTGGGGCAAAAATGTGTTTCTCATTTATTTAGTTATTATTATTTATTTCAATGAAATGGTCTTTGCCACAGTGCCCCCTGGTCCCTGCCACTCCCTCACTAAAGCTGCTGCTGGTCACCATTTACCCTGGTGCTGGAACTTTTTGATTTTTCTGTCGTCATAAGAGGAAAGGGAGAGATTTGTTTGCTGAAACTGTGTATCTGGCAAAAACAATTAAACACAAATTAGCCAGAAATGGCCTTGTGTTTTAAGAAAAATGAGGAAGAGGCTGTTTTTCTGTGGAATCTGAGAATAGTCCCTGTGTCTGGCCTGCAGACACCATGGGCCTACGTGAAACCACCCTGTGTGCCCCGTGACCTGCTCGTCCCTTTACATCCAAGTCTTAGGTGTTAGATTAGAGGTCCGTGGGTGGACCACAGGGCGCAGATTGTCTCAGGGATGTAGTTCTGTGTTAACTTATGCTTCAAATTTTCAGAAAACCTACTGTGTTCTGGGTTCTGGGCAAGCCAGTGGCACACAATGGTGCCCGTCCTCAAGACTGGCGTCATGGTCTGGGAGATGCGCGGACAGTCAAGATGGAAGGGAAGACGGTGGCCGTGCTGTAGACGCAGGTTCCACACCTGCAGGTCTAGCCACCTGGGGATCAAAAATGTTGGGGGAAAATGTACAAAATATAGAATAATAAAAATGATACAGATATTCAAAGACCTAGTACAGGCTGGGGATGTGGCTCGGCGGTAGGTGCTTGCCAAGCGCACACAGACCTGGGTTCATCCCCAGCAAAACTAAAGCAGCAAAAGAGGCAAACAGCATCGCAGCGAGTCACATAGCAAGGAATTTGTATTTGAGCAACATGAAGCATCAGAGATGACCTAAGATGCGCAGACAGGAGGGCTTTTAAAACAGTACTAGGGATTGAGCTCAGCCCTTCACACATGCTGGGCAAGTGCTTTCCCACTGAGGCGCATCCCCAGCCCTTTTTGTAAAATCATTAATATTTTTTTCCTTAGTTGTAGATGAACACAATGACTTTATTTTATTTGTTTATTTATTTATATGTGGTGCTGAGGATGGAACCCAGGGCCTCACACGTGCGGGGCAGGCGCTCTGCCACTGAGTCCCAGCCCTCCCCAGCCCTTTTTTAAAATTATATTTTGAGACAGCGTCTTGCGAAGTTGCCCGGGCTAATCTTGAGATCCTCCTGCCTCAGCCTCCCCAGTCGCTGGTTACAGGCTTGAGCCACTGCCTGCCTACAGGAGGATGTGCCTAGGATCTGTGCAGAGCTACACCCTTCTATGCAACCACCTGAGCGTCCTCAGGTTTTGGTATCTGAAGGGGTCCTGGAACCAGTTCCTCACAGATACTGAGGAAGGGCTGTGACAGAATGGTGACAGAGGCTGCACGGGAGGAACCTAAGGGCCGCTGCGGTGGAGGCCTAGTGTCTAGAGGAGGGCAAACACTGGCTCCTCTGTGCACAGCTGGGGGGATAGGGACCCAGAGGGTCGCGAGGTGGACCTCAGGTGGGGCGGTGGGAAGCGGGCAGGGCCCAGCGGGCCGGGGGCCTGGGCAGGAGTGTGGCTCTGCTCTTGGGTCATGGATCAAAGCCCTGAGCTGGGTGTGAGCAGGTGCAGGCTGGGGTCCGGCTTGGGACTTCCCCCCCAAGGCTGGAGTGGCTGCCAGGAGGCCAGAGTTGGCTGCTGAGGCCCCAGGTACAGGAGGACAGTGCCCACCGGGCCCCTGGCTCAGAGACTTCTGGGGCATGAGAAGCCAAGGCCACAGTGGGCACTGGGAGAGGGCCCACCCCTTGAAAGGAAGTTCCCGGCTGGGATCCATGCGACCAGCAGTGAGCTGTCCTTGGTGCCCTGACAGGGCCTTACCCAAGACACCTTCTTCCTGGCTGGTGACCCTCAGTCCCAAGGGAGAAGCGGTAGAAAGAAACAGCTTCCCAAAGATTGGAAACAGCCCTGTGCCCGTGAGCATGGCTGGTCCCCGGTGGACACAGTGGACACCTTGCTGCCCGAGACGCTGCCCACCTCGGTGTGTGCATGTGCGACCACCTTGTGGCAATCCCAGCAGAAGGCAGAGATTCCACACTCGATGCACCTGTAAAGCGGAGACTCCGTGAAGCCTGCCGCTGGGGGCGGGCCCAGCTGTGGCTGAGGGCCCTGGGCAGGTCCTGGTTCCTAAACTTTGTGGACATTGTCATGTTTGGGGAATCTTCACAAGAAGTACTGAGGCGTTGGGGCCGGGTCGTGGCTCAGTGGTAGAGCGCCTGCCTGGCAGGGTGAGGCACTGGGTTCGATTCTTACCATTCTGGTCTAATTGGTGTGGGACATCACTGTGTCTGCTGTGTGGAGCTGGTGTGGACAGGTGATCCCAGGGCCCCAGCCTGGGGATCCGGACTTCTCCACATTCCCCTGGTGATTCTGACAGTCGTCCTGCTTAAGGCCACCCGCCTGCTCTGGCCTGGACCTGACTGGGGTCACGGGCTTGTTGGTGGCAGTGGGACCTGAGCCAGAGTCCAGGAGTGCCCCACGCCCAGCCTCGGGACCCACTGTCCTGCTTGCCCTGGGTCCTCGGTGCCTGGTGCCGACGGGTGGAGGAAAGGTCTCATGGGTGTGTGGACACCGTGCTCAGCCCAGGCCCTGGACGGCCAAGAGGGGGGAGCACAGGGCTGGGGCCTGTGCTGGGGCCTCTCTGCGCCTCCATCTCCGTGGCCATCTGGTGGTGGGGTGGGAGGACGGGGCCAGGAATCCACAGAAGATGTCAAGGGTGGGGCTGCCGTGAGCGGTCTGGGGACGTTCGTCACGTGGCAGTCATGGCACAGGTGTTTGCTGAGCGGGTCCAGCTGCAGACACCGTGCCAGGCGCTGGGATGAGGGCACCAGGCCCGTCCCCAGGGCCCCCAGGGGCTCGGGGCGAGGGTGATGCCACTCACCTCGTGGCCCGCGGTTCTGCACCGTCTCTGGAAGCAGGCGACCCCGGGCCCCCTCGGGGCTGGAGGTTAGGAGTTCTCCACTCTCCAGGATGCCCTGGTGCAGGCGTGGGGTCTCGTGTCCCCTCTGCACCTGTGTACCTCGGGCCAGCTGCGGACGTCACAGTTGTGCAAAACCCAGCTACTGCCTGCACCGTCCAAATGGGCCTCGGTCCCTGGATTGAGTCACTGTGGCTGTGGGGAAATTCTGCTTTGTGCTTCATTTAAAGTAAATTGGAATTAATTGTTTTTAGCAATTAAGTTTTAAGAATTTTAAAAAGTCCACAGACGTGACCCGTCCGAGAGCCCGTGACTGTGGCGGCTGAGCGGCCGTCGCTCCTGCCTGCAGAGGCCTGCCCTGCTCAGGCCCTCCCCACCCCCACCGTCCTCTGCCCACTCCTGCCTTGTGCCCTGTGCGTCCTTCTCAACGCGGCTGGAGAGCTCTCCACACTAGTGCACAGAGAACTACCCCGTGTTCATTGTGGTTTCAGTGCTGGGGACCAGACCCAGGGCCTTCCCCTACCAGGTAAATGATCCACCTCTAGGTACGTCCCCGGTCCTCTGCCTGATTTTTTTTGTGTGACTTATTACTTAGGTGACCGTTCTTCCACTGACAGTCACTTGGGTTCTGTGGAGCCTTTTGCTGTGAACATCTGAAACCCGTCACTGTGCATTTGTGCAAAATCAGGATAAACCCTGGGAGGAGGGGACCGTCGGAGGGTGTGAGCATTTTTTAAAAATATCCTTATTCTATTTACTTATTTATATGTGGTGCTGAGGATCCACCCACGGCTCGCACGCCCGACGCAAGCCCTCTACCGCCGGGCCCCAGTCATTGTCGCCAAATTACCTTCTTGGAAGTTGGGGTCAGGATGAGTGTGGAAGCGTGGCCGGTCCCCTCTGGACACTCAGACCTCGAGGACGAGGGTCCTGAGGGACCAGGACGGGTGTCTCTTCCTTGAGGAGGGGACGATCATGTACCTGGCCAGGTCCTCCCTGGTGCAGTGCAGACCGAGGCGGCCGGAGCTCTCTCTGTGCCCCAGCCCGGGGCTTTCAACTCCCATTTCACCCCTTTCATCCCGGACCCAGAGGAGAGCTGCTGCTTCTGCCCAGGTTGAGTGGACGCTGAGGTTTCTGTGAAGATTCTGTGTGTGTTTAAATAGCGCTGCTAAGGTACAACCCACGCACACAGGAGCCACTCATCTAAAGTGACCATTTAATGGCCTGGCCTGGTCACAGCCCCCAGCTGTTTCCTCCCCCCTCAGGGGAGACCCTGACCTCTCAGCTCTCACCCCAGACCCCACCCAGCTCCCCGGTCTCTGCGGACTGGCCTCTTTGGACACTTTACACATTTGTGTCCTTAAGGCCCAGCGTGGCCCCGGTCTGAAGGCCGTGTTGGCCCCCAGCAGTCTTACTGACCATCGTGGGTCTTAAAGACCCACCAGGTTGGTTTTAGATGGCTGCCAATGGGAGCATTGCACGAGGGTCCGGACCACGTTTGTCCTGGACGGGCGGGCCTGCAGCTCCCCTTGGCACCAGCTGGTGCCAGGCAGCCGCCTCTTTCGATGGGGCCAAGGGTCTCCCACTCCCTCCCTGAGGCTGGGCCTCGGCCGAGGCGTGGTCGGCTTGTGCTGCTGCCTTTCGTAAGACAAAGGTGGGACACGGAACTCCAGCCATTGGCAGAGGCATCCGTAGGCTGGCTCCTTCCTGACCCAACAGGTGACCGTCACCTGCCTGGCTTCTGTGTCCACGCAGGTCTGGAGACCCGGCTGGGTCCACGTTACAGACATGGACGTGGGGCTTGTGGCTCAGGGGGATGGCAAGTGACCCTGGGAAGCTGCTTGGTTGGCATCCTCCGGGTCCCTCCTGAGGGGTCGGAGCAGTGTCCCCCACCCCCGTTTTCAAATGGGGAAACTGAGGCACGGGGATGGTCAAAGATGGAGTGGAGACCACACAGCACAGAAGGTGCGGTCAGGACGACAGCTCTGGGCTGCGGTCCTCAGGCGGTGGCTCCTGTGGGTGCGTGTCCTGCTCCTCCTGCTGATTTCCTCCCTCCCTCCCTCCGTCCTTTCTTTCTTGCAAAGAATATTCATCGAGCATCGAGCACCGTATTGATCCCCAACTGCGGGTAGCAAACGACTCAACCCGCTCAGCTTAACACATGCCCGCGACTTGGAGGTGCCTGGGTGGGTAGCTGCTGCTGGCTGTGTCCGGCTGTGCCATCTGCCCCTGCGGGTCCAGTGTGGCCTGGCCCTCGTCTGGCTGCTGGTGCTGCTGGCCGTGTGCGTCTCAGTCTCCGCATGGCCTCCCAACCTCCGGGGCCTCTCACCAGGGCCTCTGCAGCAGATCGCCTGGACTGACTCCCAGCGCTGCTTCCAGGAGGGCGAATCCAGCTCCAGGCCGAGGCCCAGGCTGAGGCCCAGGCGGCACAGAGTGTCACTGTCTTGGTCTGTTTTGTGCAGCTGTGACAGGTCGCACTGGCGGGGTTACTTGGGATGAGCAGAAGGTCATTTGGCTCCCGGTTCTGGAGGCTGGAAGTCCAAGTCGAGGGCCCGCGTTTGTGAGCATCTTTCTGCTGCATCCTCCCAACATGGTCATGGGGGATTAAGCTTCCAGCACGGGGGGCCACACTCCAGACAGAGCCACCTCCTCATGGGCACAGTGGCAGAAGGGCAGGGGGCTGGGAGGGGGCTGGGAAACCCCAGCTCTACCGTGGGCCAGGCCCTCTTGCGGGACCTGTAACAGAAAACTGGATTTAAAAACACACCAAAACCCACGGTGTCCAGACATGTCCTCTGGTGGCGGGAGAGCCAGGGTCTCCCGAAGCTGGCCAGGCCAGACTGAAGCTTGGGGTCCTCCTGCCTCGGCCTCCAGAGCAGCTGGGATTCCAGGGGAGCCCCACTGGAGTGGCACTCGCTGTGCTCACTGGGAGGCTCCAATGCTCCCACGGCTCGTTCCAGAACATTCCCACCGCCTCTGAAAGGAAACCCCACAGCCCTGACAAGGATCCCCGCCCCTCCCCTGCCCCCACCAAAGGGAGGGGCACTAATGCACTCTGGCCTCTCGCCTCCCCTTCTGGGTGCGCCGTACAGATGAGATCCGTAGCCCGTGGCCACCGTGGCTGGCTCCTGTCACTTGCGTGCGCTCAGGACCCTCCCCACTGCAGCCCGGACAGACCCCGTTCCTTTCATCAGGCAGAAGACTGTTATCCCGGGTGAGCATCGAGCACGCCTCATGGGCCCGGGCCCGGCTCAGGGACACCAGGCGACCCCACTTGTTGACTGCTCGGGTCATCTGTGCGCGTTCCTGCAGGAGCATGTGTTTTCAGTTCTTCTGGGGAAGGAGCTTGGTCATGGGGTAGCTGCCGCCTTCCTCCCCAGGAACTTCCAGGCTGGTTTCCAGAGCAACCGCACAACGGCACCTTCCACCAGGCTCTGCACTGCTCCACTTCCTCCCCACGCTCCGGCCCCACCTCCGGGATCTCAGCCAGGGTGGTCCGGGGAGGGTGGCGAGCAGGGGAGGAGACTGAAGGGGAGCGGGCCTGGGGACAGTGGGCAGGCTCCTGCAGTCGTCCCAGCAGGAGATGACGCCCTGTGGCTGGGCGGCAGTGGGCAGGGAGGTTGAGCAGGGCCAGCCCCTGTCTGTCTTGGCCTGTCCAGCTGGGAGCCTGGGTCAGCCTTTGGGGAACGTGGAGGGACACAGCCGCGTCTTCCCGTGTTAAAGATGCCCACGAGGACTGGGTGTGGCTCAGGCGCAGAGCGCTTGCCAGGCTGCAAAACAGGAGCCTAATCGCGTCCCCGGAATGCCCAGGTGTCACGTAGAGCAAGCTCTTTGCCCCTTCCCCTGGGACTGGAGCAGTCTATGTCCCAGGAGTCACCAAGAGCTGCAGGGACCCTCGTCTTGCTTTCAGGCTGGCTAAAGAAGCCTGTGGGCTGCAGCCCGCGGGACCCTTCCTGCAGCCACTTAGGGGATTATCTTGAGAGAAATCGTCCCATGAGTGATTTGTGGGCCTGCTGGGGTGGCCGATCCCAGCTCCTTTCTGTGGGCCAGGAATGTGTGGGGCTTGTTCCTCCTGAAGCCAGCCAGACAGGTGGCAAGGACATTCTGAGCCCCTTCCTGCTCTTGGGCACCACCCTGGGCCTCGGGAGCTGAGGTTGGGGGGAGCGACCACAGCCCACAGGCAGCAATGAAGGGACACGTCTCCCCCCACCCCTCCCCAGAGCATCCCCGTGGCTACAGACTCTAAGCTGTGGCCTGGCACGTGGCCCACACCTGCAGTCACAGTTACCCAGGAGGCCGAGGCAGGAGCACTGCAAGTTCAAGGCCAGCCTCAGCACAGAGCAAGGCTGCCAAAAGTAAGAAGGCCGGGGTGTGGCTCAGCGTCAGAGCACTGGCTTAGCACCCGTGGGCCCCGAGTTCCATCCCCAGGACTGCAAAAGTCAAAGACGACAAACAAAACACGCCCCCCCCCCGCCCCCATAAGACCTACAGCTCTAGGTCGTGTTGCTCAGAGTCAAGTTCTGGCTTCAGTATTTATTAGCTGTGTGACCTTGAGCAGGTAACTCCATGTTTCTGATCCCCTGTTCCTCAGCCCAACTAGAGGGTTCTTCTGGGAATCGAGTGGGGTCGTCTCTACCGAGGGATCAGCCATGGCTTCTGTCTCTCGGGAAAGAGGAGCGTGACGCAGCTGTCCCTTCTGTGCCCGTGTGTGTCAGCCTCTGCTGCATGACGCAGTCACACTTTTGGTGTCTGGTCAACCTCCTGACGACCCTGCCACCAGGACTGGGGATGTGGCTCAGGTATGGGCAGGCTGGCTCCGGTCGTAGGTGAGCCACCCAAACACACAAGTGGGGCCACGGGGTGAGGTCCCAAGCCAGCGGAGGAGGCGGCGGCCTTGGCGCCCAGGGCAGACTTGAACTTGCCCTGTCTGGTCTTTGTCCTCTCTCCTCTCTCGGCCACTGAGCCACGTCCCCAGTCTTGTATTTTATTTAGAGATCCAGGGTCTCGCCGAGGCTGGCTTTGAACTGGCGGTCCTCCTGCCTCAGTCTCTCGAGCCGCTGGGATTAAGGCGTATGCCACCGTGCCCGTCCCCACCAGGGTCTTGCACAGGCTAGGTCCACACTTCACACTGAGCTCCACGTGGCCCCGAGGCCTGGTCCTTCCTGAACTGGACTGTGGAGGTCGGGAGCTCGGGGCACCTTGGGAAGGAGGCTCCCTTGGGTGGCTACGGGCCTCTGGGGCCCCGGGATCTCTCCCGAGGTGCGCCACCTGGGGTCTGGGCTGTTTGCATCCGGCTCCTGGGGCTCTCCGGCAGCCCCTGCCCCTCCCATGCCTTTCATTTCTCTTTGGCTCCAAGGAAACATCCCACCTTCCCCTTCTCCTGGCCCGTCTTTCTCCCTAGCGTGGTGATGGCGTGACGTCACTGACCACAGTTTTATTTTCTGGGACCAGGGGATCTTCTTTCGTGCCTCCCACCCTTCCCCCGCCGTGGCCCCTGCTCCTGTCCAGCGTCCCTGCGGCAGCCCAGAATACTCCCAGCTGTGAGATGAAGGTCCCGGAGTTTAAAATTGCAACTGGGTCCTATTTATACTCCAGCCGGAAGGAGGCTTTGTGCAGTGAGTGGCTTATTTTGTTGTGGCAGCGACGGCTCACACCACAGGCAGGAGCTCGGTTCAAACCTCGGTGGGGACAAGTGGGTGGCGGGCAGTCTTCAGGAGTGGGATGGCCCCAGCCTGCCCAGCAGCCTCTGGTCACACGTCCCCGGCAGGGCCCTGTGGTCAGTGGAGGAAGGGCTCTGTGCCTGCTAGTTAAACGGCTCCTGGGTCAGGAAGGTAGTGCAGGCTCGGGGGGTGGAGGCCGCACAGGTGAGTGGGGAGAGGCTCCGCAGGCCGGCACTGCTCCTGTGAGGTTTGGCCCGAGGGGTGTTAAAGATTTTTTTTTTAACCTATGCCCAGATTTAAAAACTGGGACCTTTCCTATGACATTAGAATTTCTTGACAAATGTTGAGACTTGGCCAACCTCGGCCTGTTTCCTGACAGCTGCTGGCGGCCAGTTGCTTGAGACCTGGGTGAGCGCCTTTGAGAGGAGCCCAAGCCCGTCTGTTCTCTCGCCCTCTTTCTCTTTTCAGCGCTGGGGCTGGAACCCAGAGCCTGGTGCATGCCAAGCCTGCACTCCACCCTGACCATGCCCTCAGCACCCGGGAGTGTTGGGACCCTCAGAGAGCCTGAGACCTTCAGGTCTCCTTTGTCAGGCGCGCTCCTCAGGGCTGAGTGAGCATGGTGACAGGGGCGCAGACCACCCTCAGGACGCCCGGTTAAACCTGAACTTCCAATAAATGACGACTTTTTGGTCACAGTACCTACCCCAGCTATGACCAGATGGGCACATCCGGGGCCTTCTCCGTTGAGCGGCTTTGTACACAGTTCTACAGAACTGGCCATGCTACACTGTGCAGCTTGTGCCACTTCTCTGAGGCTGCCCCGACGTGCCAAGGTGCCTATCAGAGCAGGCTTTGAGATGGGGACTCCAACCTGCCTTCCACCCCTGGCCCCGCCTCTTGGTAACGTAGGACCTGGGGCAGGTTACCTTGCCTCTCTGAGCCTTGGTTTCCTCGTCCCCAACACAAGGAGGACAAGGATGGCTGTGTTACCCCTGCTGGTACTCACGTGTCTCATCTCTGAACGGTGCAGAGCAGATGGCCACTGGCCTTGGCCAGCCCGCGGTGGCCGGGAGTCATTGCTACCTGAACCAGCCTGCAGAGGTTTGGGGAGGGAAGGGTCTGGGAGGGCCAGGGAGTGACCTAAGGCTGAGTTGGCTTAACCAAAAATAAACAAGCAAAGGCAAGAAGCAGCAGAGGAAGGGTGCCCGTCTCCCTGGAAACCACCGCTGGCCGCAGGACCTTCTCGTTCCAGGCGCGGGAGGTGGAGGCGGCCATCGAGGGGCCACTCGTGGCGCGGGAGGACT